TACATATATTAAAAATAATTATCTTATCACTCATAATAATTTTAATTATAAAAAAATAAAAAAATAATTAAAATTTTATATAATTTATATATAAATAAATATTTTTTTGTGTGTATATATATATAGAGAGAGAGAGAGAGTTTTCCTACTTCATAATCCCAAAAAGTTAAAGAGACACTGAGTCAATGTTCGTTTAAATGGGAGTAACAAATTAGATCAGCAATCTGGTCTATTAAGAATAAATATTCTTTACCTGCTTCAAAACAAGGCGGGAGTAGTTATTATTTTGTAATTAATATTATTTATTTAAAAACTAACACAAAATATTATACACACTTACGAAAATATTTAATATTACGCCATATTATGTTACTAATATATATTATGACATGAAAACTTCATCACAAACCATAAAAATTGCTCTAACACCTAAACTTAATGAAAGTAGGAAAAAATATACAAATTAGATTATTGCAGGCACTTTCTAGTTGCAGGCGCTTTTGAAGCGCCTACAAATTAGGCAAGGTTCAGGCCCTCCAGCCTTCGCCCACCGAAATCTTTCTGGACACGGGATTTGCAGGCAGCCTGCAGACACTTTCTTAAGCGCTGACTCCAGTTATGCAGGCACACAAAAGCGCCTGCAATGACCTCAATTACGCGCCTGCAAAACCAGTAACCTTTGTAGTGTTACTAGGAAAAGCTCTTACAGCTCCCCTTTTTTCATTCATTAGGTTGGACTCAAAATTTTATTTTAAAAAAATTTAAATTTTTTTTAGTTGAATCAACAAATCATTAATAATTTAAAATTTATTTATAATTTATTATTATTAAAAAAATTTATAATTAGTAAGAATATTTAAAAAGATATAGATAATCTGCACGAAGTGGGGACTGTGATCTAGTATATAAATAAAATATAAAGAAGCTTACTTGTTGATCATTTGTTGAGGACATGAAGACGCTCCGTACTGTTTGAAAACCAGATATAATCTTCGATACAAAGGGCTATCCACAGCCAAAATGGATATGAAAGACTTGAGGATAAACAAATAAATCTCATACATATGGAGAGAGCTTGCCGGCGTGGTTAGCAAAAAGAAAGAAAAGGAGATATCAAATACGTCATCAATTTATTTATTTTTTCACCAATTCATCTTTTTTTCATATATGTATAATACAAGTGGGTATTGAATGTGAGCAGATCAGGATGGCAACGGGTCCCGCTCCTTCCTATCCTATCCTTGTTAACGACAGGTACAGAAA